GCTTTTGTTAGTCTAGGTGAATTGATCGTTCTAACCGCGAATACTATCGTGCTTTACTGACAACGTAACCACGAACTGTAGCGGCTGGACTCACGACAACCATTCTTATCGCTCTTCATACAGCATGGAGCCAGCTGCAGATGTTCGAGTCCGGCTTTTTGGTTTGGTTGATAGCTTCTGCTATGTGTGACGTTGTGATTGCCGTGTCTCTAACATGGTTTGTGGTAGGTCGAGCATTTTTGTGCAAAGGAATTAATAAGTAAACTCGCTGTACACGGCTGCAGCTGCGCAACAAAACGCCCTTTACCTCCACCAACTCTATCCTTAATCGGATCATGCTTCGTGCGTAGCATCATAAAGAAATACAATGGTTAAAGGAACTCATCTTTTCCCCTAGTGACTCTACAAACTGGCACGATCACCGCTGTTGCTGCTATCGCTGATGTTTTCACGTTCACCATCAGCGAGGTGCGTATACGGACAATGTCATTGAATGTGGGGCATAGTAATGATCTGCCTTCGTACATAGGACAAAACTCTGTTTGCAAATTCTGGTTCAAATCTTATTCACGCATTGAATCATAAAATCTCATAGGGAATTCGTTTGGGCTTACTCTCTCTCAAAACTATACTCCAACTCTTTACTTTCGATGTATATGTCATATATTGTGCATTTTTCATTTGCTAACTGCTCTACTAGGTTGAACGCTCGCGTTGAATGGAATAAACTCCTTAATCCACCGAGCGTCCAAACACAGAACGATGTCTCCTTTTTCCATGTCGAAGTGTTGCATCATCACGCAGAGGATCCAGCGATGGTGATTTCTCAAAGTAACCTTACTGAATTGACTGATTGATATGGCTCATTCAGCATTATGATACTTCCGACCAGGTAATATACAGACTCCTTTCGTTTGTCGCACGATATGTACTGACAGTGGAAGTTTTTCTAGAAAGCTGCTACCGTGGTCTACCCGCCGTTTTGACTTTCAGAGTCGAAACCTAGGATCTATGTAGAGAGCCGTAAGCTTCCACTCACGCTCACTGAACGAATTGGATAAATGCAGGAACGGCATTCAGAGAATCTAGGAATGCATGGACATTAGGAATGTAATATGAAGATACGTAGATTGATCAGAGGATGTAATATTTCAGAATTCGGACGCCAACGTGATATAAAGGAGATTGGAAAAGCCACATGGAGGAAGCGAGCAGCATGAACACTCTGGTCGATTCACCGAGGGACCAGAGGAAGCACAAGAACCGGAAAGAAAATTGAAGAACCAGCTTCAGGACCTGGGAGGTATACAGACCGTCAGGGAAATTAAATGGGTATGCTAGCATTCGGAATCACACCTCCCACAAACTCCTGTACCAGATAAAATCTTCTTCCTCTACCCGAGAACAAAGAGCCAGAGTCGAGGGATCAAAATCGGACTCTTTCTTCTCTGAAGACAGTTCAAGGTGACGATGTCGATAGGTGATAGCTCGAGCCTTGGAATTTGTGTCGATGACTTCGGTCATTAGCTGAAGAGCTTCAGCCACCGTAGAGTAATCTGGGCTCGCTTCTGAAACAGAGTGCATGGCTATAGAAGCTCAATGAGCGCGTTTCGAAAATTATATGAATGTGTTTTCTCACCATTCACCGCGTTATCAAGATATTCTCCTGCGAGTTCCAATGATATACTCGCGCGACAGTACAAGAGATCATTCATCCTGGTGTCCGAGTCAGCTGGGATATTCAGGATCTCATTCGTAAAGTGATTTTCCATCTGGAAATAACGACGTTTACGAGAACTGGGCTGGGGCTCTAGTGGAATGCAGGTGGACGAGGGATTCATGGTCTGGTAAAAGAGAAAGCTCTAGTGATGATGGTGGCGGCAGGAGAAAGTTATTGGGGCGAGAGTCTCTTGTTTCGCGAACTATAAAGCATCATTTGGATTGCTTTGTGTGTGTCGATTGGGGTGGAATAAAAGAAAAATCGAACGAGTCATGTGTCGATCGCGTCCGTTCACTTTGCCGTTATTTGTTTCAAGTATTTCCGTTTGCCTATTAAGTTTTAATTTCCCTCTCGCCAACCACCACCATAATCATCACTTCAATCAACCTACCTTCAGACTTGTCGATATGTCTGGACGCGGAAAAGGAGGAAAGGTAAATCATCTTGATCATATTGTCACTCGATGTCCATCTAACTCAATATTTGGTGTAGGGTCTAGGAAAGGGCGGTGCTAAGCGTCACCGCAAGATTCTCCGTGACAACATTCAAGGTCGGCTGTGTTCCCCATGGAACAATTCGCTGTGACTCATGTCTTCCAGGAATCACCAAACCTGCCATTCGTCGTCTCGCCCGTCGTGGTGGAGTCAAGCGTATCTCTGGTCTCATTTACGAAGAAACTCGCGGTGTACTGAAGATTTTCCTGGAAAATGTTATTCGTGATTCCGTAACATACACCGAGCACGCTAAACGGTAAGTCTTGATTTATCACAGTTGAACCTCACCCAAGTGACAATTGATGTCTAGTAAAACCGTGACAGCCCTTGATGTTGTATACGCCTTGAAGCGGTCTGGTCGTACCTTATATGGTTTTGGAGCTTAGGCCTTAGGGTGAGCTCGATGTCTAATCTGAACTTTTCATCTGCTTATTTGCTTTTGTTCCAGTGGCTAGATCCATTTTTATCTTTATTCTTTATCGACTTGTATGATCTCTGTATTCTATCGTAATCAATCTATCCGAGAACGACAATTTCGCTGTATCTTCTGCACTTAGTTAATGTCTTACTCGGGCAGTCGTGCAGTGCTCCCTGATCCAATATTCACCTTTCAATTATACCTTCTGTTTCGAGTTCGTGCCTGGTGATTTCTTTGACCCCGATATGTCCCTCTGAGTTTTACAAGGTGTCATCACCGAATCCATGGGTGATGCACGTTACCCGCAGTATATGGATGACTTCCAAGTTCTGTTATTGAGAGGAAGGCTGCAAGGTTAAAGTTGAAAGTATATTTTGTGTACGTGTATGCATTGCGGTACTCGAGTATTCGCGGATGGCAATGAGTAAATTCTCATTGATAAGTACAGTACCAGGTGTATCGAGGAATACGATCGGAAGATCAGTTACACAAGTTCTTTTCCATCTAATTTGTATATTCTCCCTGCCTTCATCACAAACTGTACATTATCCACTGTTCCTTCGAAGTCCTTCTCAAAATCACCCTCCACGCCAACCAGATCAGCCGCCCAGCCTAGCTTTATACACCCAAAACGATGGTCATTATCGCCTAATGGCATATCATGACTACCATCGGTAGCATTCACCACCTCCCAACCCATGGGCCGAATACACTCCCATCCACCCAAAGTGGCCCATTTCAGCACCTTCTTCCAATCCGCCCCGAGTCTCACCATCAGTTTCATCTCCAATGAGTTCTCTCCGTGCGGGAATGCCCCAGTGTCACCCCCACATGCGATGTTATCCATCCCTATTGCCAGAGCGCGCTGGAACATCTCGCTGACTGACTGCCAAGCCTGGTTTGCGCGCGGGTCCTTTCCCTCAGTGAATTGAACTTGATAATAAGATACCGCGAGAGTAGGGACCCAGATTGTATTAGGGGTCGTACTCAGTAATTGCATGAGGGAGTCTGGGTGTGGAGTAAGTGTTGACCCATGTTCGATGGAGTCTATACCGAGCTCAAGAAGTTTCACGATGGTATTGGTATTGCTGGCATGAGCAGCGACTTTAACACCTAGTGAATGTGCCGTATTGATCATACCTGCGAGTTCGAGTTCATTGAATGTTGGTAATGGCATGCCTGCAAACCGTGGCGAAAGACCATTCATGCGAGACCGGAACCGATAGTCTGAACAAAAAATGAATTTGGGTGAGTACCAATCATTTCGAAGGACATTAATGAAGTGAATAGGGTGGGGTATTCACCAGCGTAAATCTAGAGACACATCTCAGGACCGGCGAAATGGCCATTGTAACTAATTTCGCACCTTTATCCAGTCAGCTCCTGCACCGATTTGCCGCCTAGTAGCTCGTATGCATTCATCAACTCCATCTGCCACTTCTGCGCCGGTTACGCCTTCTAGTCCTTCCAGATTCATGTGGAGGGAGCTTTTGGGTCCTGATGGATGGACCTCATCAGTGTAAAGATGATGGTGGAGGAATTCAACGGGTTTACCATAACTCCCGGTACAAACTATGGCTCGGTTCGCACAAAAGTATCTTGGTCCTGGAATCAACGGATTAGGACCAGACAAACATTTTCGTAGAGATATGTCGGCGTCTTCAGCGCCTTCGGTTCCAAGATCCCTGCTCATTGCTTAATCTGTTGAACGACAAACCAGAGGACACGGAACAAACCTTACGGTTGTGAAGCCAGACATCAGGGTTTTGCGTGCGTGGACGGTGGCCCGGATTGTTCTCTCCACAAGGCTCTCTTTTGTAGTCTGGTCGTCCCATGATGTTTCCCCGTAGGAATGCAGGAAAACTGCCAGTAAGAAATTCAACATCAGTGGAAATACCGCAAAAGAGGCACTTGCAATGGACGTGAGTGTCGACAAACCCTGGAAGGATCGTCAGATGCCTCAAATCTATAGTATTGCCTGAGGACATCTGGGAAGGGTCGAGGTCGTTCGGATTTGTGCTTTCGACATTGAGGATGATACCCGTGCTCTTTGAGACTATTATAGTCTGGGAAGGCAGGAATTGTAACTGGTAGGTATCAAAGAGCTTCCCAGCGAGGATACGTTGGGTGTCGGCTGCAAAAAATTTCGTATTCGAGTTTACGGTCTCTGGAGAGTGTATTTGGGTCATTGGCGGGAAAATGGAACAAAAATAGGTCTTCAGTCATGGGTGTTGTGGGAGTTATTTGCAGAGTGTACGTTGCCGGACCGAGCTTAAATAAGGTATGATAGCGATGCTAAGCCGCTCACGACATTGACAACTGACGACGAGTCGGAGCTGCTCAGCAAACAACACCAAAAAACATCCACTGCCTCCTACCAGATTCGAACTAGCGACCTTTCCATACATCAGTTTGTACGAGTGGAACGCTCTACCACCTGAGCTAAGAAGGCAACATGACTAAAGCTTGGGAGTGTTGATATTCCGACTTGGATTCAACTTCCATCCTCCTCCCCTCGGGAAGCTCACCAAGAGAGAACTTTGATGAGGCCAACGTTGGGAAAAAATAACAACTCTACGGAAGACTTAGAGGAAGAGAACATTAACGGTAGGGCTGAGATTTGAATTTGAATGCTCAAAAGGTACGTTCATGTCTACTTTGACTTTCTGTAATTCGGTAAAGCCTTAATTTACTCTCCCTCTCACCGATTCTTCTCCTTCCAAACCAGATACTTGCGTAACTCGACCCTGATAATTGCGTCCGGATACTTGAACATTGACGTGTGACGGGTGTTCGGCGGTGAGAGCGACATCGACTTCAATGGCCTTTGAAGAAAAAGTTATATTGACGACGATTGCAACCTGCGGATGCTCCGCAGTTCGATTTGGGGCGGACTCTGGATATGAGGATGATGAACAGGAGTGTCGCATATCCTTATCCAGGCTCCCTCTTCACTCGTCCTCATTCTCTGCAGTAGTTCCATACTCCCATTGAAGGACTGAGCGCTGATTCACGATACTAGCAATAAATTTCGCATATGCGTGCTCCTGCGTGCTCGTACTCCCGCAAAATAAGAAATAGCCGACGTGACATTGTGAACGTTGCTAGAAAAGAAGGAGGTAAAGGCAGCTGTTATTAGGAAGTAATCACTATCACGACGTTATCTAAGGCTTCGAGGTATGTCGCAAAGCAACATCGCAAATTATATCGTACTCGATATTTCATTCTTGGACTACCAGCCAATGATCGACGGTCCTGTATCCCATCCGCAACCTTCACCAACTTGTATATCGCTTCAATACCACTTGGTATACCCGACAAACTTCGAAGATTTACTACTCACGCAGACATTTCCTAACGCTGTACACATTTTTTGTTGTTATTCTCGTCAGTGTATCATGTCTTATACACCAATGAGCGTCGTTGTTTCTGCTCAGTTAGTCATCAACGCATTCTCTACCACTTGCTGCACGAGCTCGATCTCCTAAAAATCGATATCGATGAGCTTCGTCTCAGAGCCTAACTCTGGAAGTGCCAAAGCACATGTGCCGTGTCCATTGTGCGCCCGTAGCTTTTTCGAACCATCTAAGCTCGTAAGCTCTTCTAGTCCATCGGCGCCGCTTGACCTCAATAACTCACGAATCGTTGATGACACTCATCAAATTTCATTACCTTGTTCATTACCCAGTACATCATTGAGTGCGTCATACTCGATGTATTTTGGGTTCTGGGAAATACATTCACCTTGAGAGACTCCCTGACGCTTGCTATACGGATGCGTGGAGGAGATGCCAGGTCTTTCCTGAGCTTTTTTTAAGGAGTCGCTTGAAAACGCTCGGTAAGAGCATATCTGAGGGAAGGTAAAGTTTGAGTTCGAAGCTAGATGGTATAGAATTCCTGGGATGTGTTGCTTCGGGAAATGAAATGAGTTGTGCCGAAGACCAGTATCATGGGTTGCACTGCCTTGTGGTGCTACGCTCAGCCGATTTCTGACCTGCCTGTACCACATTTCCGCTTCACACATTGCTCGATAACACTCCCAACGATGAACGTGTGAAAACTCTTACTTCGATCATTATTCAGTCATTGGGGTAGAGTTGTGTCTGCTTTTTTGCTTTCCTTGCATCCCCAGTTCATTTTGCTCCTCGTTCCCTAGAACGTAAGTCCCTTGGACCAAGCCGTTAATATTCCTTCCTTGTCGCGATTTTTTCCTTGAATACAGATCTTCTATCAAATAGGCGCTCAAAATCGTATATATTATATATACGAGCGGTCAAAGTCTAAATTATTCAATCACTAATGCCCCAAGCCACTACCTCTTCCAGCCGCGACAATCCAAATCATCACAAAGATGATAAAATCGATAAGTCTCAAAAAACATTGCAAGGTAAGGCGGTGAAAACAGGGAAAGCCGTTAGCCTCTTTTGCAACTTACCATTTGACCACATAGATGGTCGCTTAGCAGATCTGACTGCTGCCTATCAAGCATCTTCAGACTTTCAGTCGAACAATCAAGATGAAATATCCAAAACCAGCTCAAGATTCGCGTCTTCGGCGGAGGTGAAAGCAATAGAAGAAAAAGTCAAGGACTTTGTGTCGTCTAGTCAGGTCTTGATGAGCGTTCTTGACGACATTCGGAAAATTCATCCTGTCATAGGTGGGACTATAGGCGCCGTTACCAACTGATTGACTAATGTAATAATTGGTCCGCTCTTTTCAATCCGGAAAGATGTCGTAGTACTGGCGTTCAAAGCAGTAGTGACTTTGGAGCTAAAGCGTCGGGATAACGATCAGAAAGTGTTGGTGCTACAGGTCAAAATGCAGGACATGATGGAAATCTTCGTCCAGTGAGTCAACATATTATTTCTGACTTGTGTGACTTTGAAAGTTGAGACTGAATTTACCAGGCTTCGAGTGATTGCTCCAAACCAGAAAGAGTCTAATCGAGGCTTTACGGTGGAGGAGAGCCTGAAAAAGATATGTTCCCGAATCGCAGAAGATATTTGGTCCTGTGCGAATCTGTGTGACTCGTATTCAAAGAAACGTCTTCTAGGTGGGTCGAGGTCGAAATCATTAGGGCAAGGTGTAACTCATAAATATGTGGTTTTGTCTCTACCAGTTAAGCTGCTCAAAAGCCCAATTTATGAAGGACGACTGGCTGGTTGCATTCAAACCTTCGTGGAGCGACGTAGTGAACTACATACAGTGCTGGGCATGTTTACTGCTCACAAGATACACTCGACATTCTCGCTTCTGGAAAAGAATCAAGAAGTCCTCAAATCTATCAATAATTCAATACAAGTCATCTTTGAAAGATTGCGTACACAGACTCCAATAGAGAAACAGATATGGAAGTTAATCGAGTCCAAAGGCGGACTTGAAAAGTGCACTGAGGACGAATCTGCTTTGACTGAATTGGTAAAATTTGATTTATATGGGTGCGTAGGGGACCGTTCATGGTTCACAAATCGGTTTACTGATACATTTTTGACTACTACGTTTGGTTGACGATAGTCCGGAACATTCTGAAGAAGTAGGGGTTAAGATGAATGTACCCCCAGTACCACCCGTACCATCTGCGATGTATCCGGGATATTCAACCTACTCTTCGCCGGGCGCCGCGGCAGTCCTGGGATTGAATCCAACTCCTTCCACATATCAACCGCAACTACAACCTCGCACAAGTACAGCCTCTCAGGGATTTGCGGCTCCAATGTCCACGGAGATGTATTATGGGTCATCGCTTCCAGTATACAACTCTTCTCCTCCTCCTCCACTTGAAAGGCATATGCAGCCTGTACATTCACATCGCAGTTATTCCAGTAATCGGAGGGTTTCAAATTCACAACCTATTGAGTATCTACATCGGCCCGAATCTCCAACGCGTTATCACTCTACATTTGCTACACGCTCTTCAGCTCCGTCTCAAGCCTGGGCGGGCTATGCTCCTGCCACATACGGATATTCTGAATCGCGACAACGACATAGATCTACGACCACCCAAAGGACATCCTCTACCCACGAGCGTTTCCATCGAGGAATTGAACTTGAAAATGAGTATAGAACTTCCAATGACCCTGGGAGTAGGCGAGATGCAGAACAGGATCCACCTGGTCCCCCAGCGCATGAGGTGAATCAGTTGAAACAGGAGTTACAGCTTGACGTCGATGATGATTTGAAGAAGAACATGACTGTATTTAAGCGAAAGCTTGATGAACAGCAGCGCCAGCTTCAACAAATTGAAAATACGGTGATTAACCAAGGGGATAGGGTGATTTCAGTAGTTCGTGAAGGCCCACATGATAGAATTCATGATCCAGTGAGTCGATGTGTAATTCATAGAATGGTGGATTTTTCATGATCAATAGGAACTCCGTGCTATCTGGAAAGAAATGGCACGTACTTGCGGGCATTTCTTATTCTATGTCTACTAATTCAGCAATTAGGGCTGGAAACTAGGTGTTCCAGTGCAGGAATTTGTCCACACTCTGCATGATTACTATGTCGCTCAGAATAATGATTCGGCTGTAGTGGATAATTACTTCACAATTATGGCCTCACCAGCACCAGGTTCAACTGCCGACGATCAAACTCTTGCTTTGAGAGCTGCTTTCTCTGCCGCAAAGCAACGGGCAGCAGAAAAGTGGGCTCTCAAGCACATCAATATCAAGAATATCATTCCGCTTATGGAAGTTTTCGATGGTGATGCTTCTGGCTTTGTTAGTGTCTGGGAAGCGAACCAGGTCGCTTCCTTACGCCCTAAAGATTGGAGGTATGTACAAAAATATACATACAATATTTCTTGCATTGACCGAGAGACCACAGCTTCCTTCAATGGCTAGCATATTGGGCAGCTGGTTAGAAACTTGTGATCTGTTTAACTTTCAATGATTTTAAACAATTTGCTTTTGATCAGGTCGGCATTTCACAATTTGGCAATATCGACAAAAGATTGGAGCTATCATTCTGCAGATGTTCAAGTCTGTGGAGGATCTCATACCTACCAACAGGGACATTGTCAACCACTACCTCCTTGGTCTATGGGCTGTGGATCAAGTTCTCTGTCAAATTGTTCCTTGCACAGAACCTCCGGATGGGATTTTGGCTGAGAAGATCGCAAGTTATACTCATACTGAAGAAGATATCATGGAGCAGAAGTTGAAGGCATTGAACTACGAGATTGATGGACCCGATACTCTTGGATTGATAATTGGTGATTCTCAGATTGAAAGGGTGAGTACCATGTTTAAACTCATGACTATCTTTTAAGCTTGTAAATTGTTTTCAGAATCTCCTCCCTCTCATCTACCTGCTGCTTAAGTTTCATCTAATGATTATCCATGCGGGTTCTCGGACTGTATATGATCGTGAAGAGCTTTTCACTGCCGAGGAAACCCTTTCACAGATTTTTGATGCAATTTTTGCCCGAGTCGATACCCTTTACTGTCAGAG